CTTTCCCTAAAGAACTTGCGGTCTAAACTTAAGTGAATAAGAGCACATAAAGAAAGAATGAATTACCTTCCTTGTTTTGCAGATGGAGAATCAAAATGTGAATTTGTTATTTAAAGACTTGTCAAAAACCCTGCTATTATATCACAGCACTAGAAATTAAATGTAATCCTTTTCGTCGCACCTGGTGCATTTAAGAACAGGACTACCCTTTCCTTTTCTACAAAAGCCAGTCTGCTTGACTTTCTGAGAAAATCTGTTAAGTTCGTTCCACTCCTACTTGTGTTGCAGAGAATGTTGCTACATGATAAGTCAAGGATTTTCCTGACTAATTCAGCAGCAGTGTTTACAGTTTCCAGTGAAGATTCTTTCTGATGATGTGCTAACAAGAAAAGGAAGCCTGTGGCTTGGCTTTCCAATCACTGAACCAATTATTGTCATGGTTCCGTAGAGGGAGACGAAAAGAGAATTTTTGCCATTTTAATTTTTCATAATAAATTTCAAGGTTTATATTTAAGGAATTAGGTGATAGACTGCTGTCCACTGAAGTAATGCATTAATGTTAGTTTATATTGTAATATATTTTTATATGAATGTCTACAGATACTTTTTAAAAAAAAATTCTCACAGAGCCGTTATGGCTTGATCCGAATATGTATTTAACTTTTCGGTATTTTGGCAGCTACCATCATATGTGGGTGATTTCAAAAGAAAAAACACAATACTGTTTCTGAGGCTGCCAGTATTTTTAATTGATTATAATCTTAATGACATTGAAACATTAGAGTATAGGGTTTTTTTCCTTGAAGTAAATAACAAATTCATAGATTTTTTTGGTGAACTTTGTTACAGCAGCTGTGCTGATGCATTTGTCTATCAATCTTGAGCCCCTTATGGTACCATTAATTACATTAAATACTTTTTAGTGTACCCTAGTGGTTGCTAAATCTCCAGTTACGAGCTAAGCTCATAGTAAGCTGTGAACTCTGACACAAGGCTTTCTCTTTAGACTGCCCTTCTGTACAGTCAGTCTAATGTCTTCAGTCGATAAAACCTGACTTTTTTTGTTGAACGAGTGATTGAAGGAACTATTCAATAGAAGGTATTTAAAAGCTGATAATTTGACTGTTCAGTTTAATGAGAACTTTACCTACAAAGTGAACAAAATATAGCTTCCCTAGTTTTTCCTAGGGTTTTGAGTTAGGCTACTGGTTTTTGTCATACTAACCCAAGACAGTGTTATAACACTATAAATAAAAAGAAGTGTCTAAAATGAAAAATTTATGAATTTAACATTTATCTTAAGATGTTTTGCCTCAAAAATACCATTAAATTAATTTTGAAAGATAAATTGGTGAGCTATTGAAGAAGTAGCTTTGGAGGTCCTGTGTTTTATTTAGTCTGATAAAACTTCCTTTTTCAACATAAATGTGTTTAGAAATCAAAATGTTTAGTTAATGTATCAGAGCTAAGCATGTGGAATGAATAAGAGTATAAAGATATGAAATTGGCAATGTTCAAATGGAATGCATATGGTCCTGTGTCATGTCTGTATGCTGTTTGTTTATAGGTTTCAGATTACCTTGAAGTTATCAAAGAGCCAATGGACCTATCAACAGTAATAACCAAAATTGATAAACACAACTACTTAACAGCCAAGGATTTCCTAACAGATATTGACCTGATCTGCAGCAATGCATTGGAGTACAATCCAGACAAAGATCCTGGAGGTAAGGACCTACTTCGTTTTGGCCTACCTAAACCTGAAAGCCTGGTGTTTAATCACGTATTTGGTTACTATTCAGGCATTTAAATAAACTGCATGCTATGTGATAGTTAGGATAAGCAAGTCCTGAGGGTCTGTGCTTTTAGTATTCTGAGGCATGTGGTGCACTGGGGGACATTGTACGAGCAGGAGAACTACAGCGTTCAGAGTTGTTTTCTAATAAATTAGGTTTCGTAGTTCCTTTTAGAATTTGATAGCTCCTTTTCACTGAATAGACTTTGTATATGCCACAAAACACCAACGTAATTTGGAGAGCTCTGTAGAGAATCCTGCATGCAATCTGGCAGTGGCCTGCTTTATTTCCACATTGGCTTGGAACATGAAATTCACACACAGAAAGTAAGAGCTATGTATTTGGGGATAGAAATAAACCAGGATAAATCATAGAACCATAGAATGGTTTGGGTTGGAAGGGACTTTAAAGATCATCTAGTTCCCCCCGCCATGGGCAGGGACACCTTCCACTAGATCACGTTGCTCAAAGCCCCACCCAACCTGGCCTTGAACACTTTCAGGGATGGGGCATCCACAGCTTCTCTGGGCAATCTGTTCCAGTGCCTCATCACCCTCATAGTGAAGAATTTCTTCCTTATATCTAATCTAAATCTACCCTCTTTCAGTTTAAAGCCATTACTCCTTGTCCTATCACTGTGTGCCCTTGTAAAAAGTCCCTCTCCAGCTTTCTTGTAGGCCCCTTTCAGGTACTGAGAGGCTGCTGTAAGGTCTCCCCAGAGCCTTCTCTTCTCCAGGCTGAACAACCCCAACTCTCTCAGCCTGTCTTCACAGGAGAGGTGTTCCAGCCCTCTGATCATCTTTGTGGCCCTCCTCTGGACCTGCTTCAACAGGTCCATGTCCTTCTTATGTTGGGGGTCCCAGAGCTGGATGAAGTACTCCACGTGGGGTCTCACGAGAGCAAAGGGGCAGAATCACCTCCCTCAACCTGCTGGTCACGCTTCTTTTGATGCAGCCTGGGATACAGTTGGCTTTCTGGGCTGCAAGTGCACATTGCCAGGTCATGTTGAGCTTCTTATCGACCAACACGCCCAAGTCTTTCTGAAGGCTGCTCTCAATCTGTTCTCCACCCAGCCTGTATTTGTGCTTGGGATTGCCCCAATCCATGTGCAAGACCTTGCACTTGGCCTTGTTGAACTTCATGAGGTTCGCACGGGCCCACCTCTCAAGCTTGTCAGGGTCCTTTCGGATGGCATCCCTGCCCTCCAGCGTGTCGACTGCACCACACAGCTTGGTGTCGTCAGCAAACTTGCTGAGGGTGCACTCAGTCCCACTGTCCATGTCGCTGACAAAGATGTTAAACAGTGCTGGTCCCAGTACTGAGTGCCAGTTGTCACTGGTCTCTGCTTGGACATCGAGCCGTTGACCGCAGCTCTTTGAGTGCAGCCATCCAGCCAATTCCTTACCTTTATCATCAGTCAAGGAGGTCGGTGGCAGCTGATTAGGAGAGATTAGAAGGTATTGTCTTGACAAAGTGTGATGGGATGCTTTCAATTAAAATGGAATTTGTAGATTGAAATGCATGTAAAAGCTATTCACGCTCAAAACTAAGGAAAGAACATCTTGTGTACTCTTTGCTAGGGCCACCTTATAGTGTATATTGCCAAAAGAAAGCCTTTCCATCGGCAGCTTCCAGAGTCGCCAATAAAACAATAAAAAAGCACCCGTTTAATGTAGTTGTATTTAATATAAGTGATACTTGGAAATCTGGATCCATCTGCAAATGTAGCCCAATGTGTTAAAAAGTTTTGTATTAAATCTCGTGAAATCATTTTACCAGGTTAAAGCCTACTTTTCTATATTTTTCTTGCTTCTCAAAGTTTTGATTTTTTGAGGCATTCACAAATGTCTCGTGTGGACTAGATACAGTATAGTCTGGTCAAGTAGTTACGCTTGTTTTTCACATTTGCCTTTTGAACCCAGTGCTGGTTCATATCTGTAGAAAGTAAACTTTATTTCTTCCATTTATGATGCATTCTGTTTTACAACTAAAAAAAATACATTGATAAAATACAGCAAAAGCTTTTCTGTCTTCTTGATAACACACTTTCGAGGACTTCTAATGTGTAATTGATGTGAATTAATCAAAGTCCTTGATGGACACTTGGGATTGAGTGTATCTGAAGAGCGCTTATTTAGAAGATGACGACTATGAGACATACCTCGAGCGTGCAGCTGACATGTTTGTGACTTAGTGATGTGCTTTGGTAAAAATTGGCATTAACATACCCCCTTTGTTCTCATTTTTAGGCCATTTGGATCTGTGGTCTTGGTTGTTTAATTCTAGGAAATGTAGTCTGAAGAGGTATTTCTTTAAGTTTTAGAGCAGGTGTTATGGGACTACAGACTTCTAAGGTCATATCTGCTCAGGATCATAAACAACACGAGTCGCAGGCTCAGTGTGGCAGAAACATAAAGAAGCAAAGACAGCTTAGGGAACACTTAGTGGCAAAAGTTTTCATTGAGCTTGTCCAAAGAGAGAGACTCTTAAGAAATATATGTAGGGAACCAAAACAGGGACGTTTTGGTTTTCCTTGCTGTCAGGACTGAGCTGGGATAAATGGATCTGGCTATTTCTAGGTTAAGTTTTGAAGTTTCTCATCACTGAGTAGGTAATGAAAGATAGTTGTGTCCTCTGCGTTGTCAACAATTGATGATGTATTGCTCTTCTGGCATGCAAGAATTCTTGAGCCTTTGTATGGATATACTGATGAAACAGCACATCATGTCTATTCTGAGTAAGCATTACATGCGTTCAGATGCATTAACTGAATATTAACCTATAAATGTTCACATTCTTTAAAGCTAGGCATATATGCTTGCCTCTGCTTCATGCTTGAATTTTCAGAAGAATCATACTGTACCTGCTTCTATCCCATCGTTCAGCTGGAAAGGCAATAGGAGTACCAGACTAGCTGGTTTTATATGCAGTACAGATATTCCAGATTGGCATCTTTGGGTTTTTTTTTTTTTTCCTGGTACTTTGCTATAAAACTTTCAGATAGGTTATATAGTAAGATAGTTTTTTTGGGTTGTTTTTTTTTTTTTTTTTTTTTTTTTCTGTCTTTACCTCCGTTGTTTGACCAGGAAATATTCTTAAAGGCATGGAAACATAACTATTGTGTGTTAGACATAGTAGTATTTGCCTCTTTGAAGCACTGTCTGTGGGAAAGTCTTGCCCATCACAGGATATGAGGAAAGCAGTAGTTCAATCAAATCCTCTTGATTTGATTTTTCTTTTTTTTTTTCTTTTTTTTCTTCTTTCTTTTCTGAGGCTGTCTTAAACTTTATTATCTGACCAACCTTTTCAAGTCTAATATTGCAAAATTACATCTTCAAAGAGTGTAGTGTATTTTTTGTGATCATAAAACATAATACTTCACAAATATATATGGGTAAGAATTTCTAGTTTCCAGTTGACTTAAGTGGCGGTAGATGTCCCCAGAAAACATATGTAGGGCTCATTCGAGCTGGATACTGGATATTGTTTTTCACTCAGCAGTTTTTCCAGCTGTAAAATTTGCTGTTTCTAGAATTGTAAACCTTGTTTAATAAATGTTCACTGATACTTTTAATTGTTGTGTTTAGTGATTATTAAAACAGATTAAATCTGCTAATTGTATAATATGTTGTAGACATTAATGTTGATGTTTGTTGTTGAAGTACCTCCATCAACTGGAAAAAGTAATTCAGTATGGATGAATTGGCAAATTAAATATGTTTGTACTAAAAGCAAACAACAAGTGTTGTGGGTTTCATTGAAAAGCAACATTCTAGATGTCAATTTTCTCCACATACAGGCTTACTTATTTAGTTACAATTACATTTTAAATTTCAACAGCGTTGGAATAATTTCTTTTGTGTGTTTCAAAGGTATGGGAACTGGTCTTCTCTGAAAAAATGTTTTTTCATGAGTCATATTTAGGCTTCCAGTGTGGGCAATATTTTTTCTCCTGTTTCCCAAATAGAGATGAAAATGTAGGAAACTTGAGGCTTGTTTCTTGCCAGTTCTTCTGAATGGATTAAAATGAGAAATAGCTATTCAATATAAGCAATAACGTAATCTTTTAGCACAAATTTGAATTTTATAGCAGTTGTTAAATAAATATTAAACAATAATTTAAGGTTAAAAAAAAAACAGGGGAGGAATATAAGCAAGCCAGGTCTACATTACAGATTCAGGAAACATCCAGTATGATTTTGCAGGCAGTATAATTGTACGAACGTTCCTAGACCCCAGTGGGTAAATTCATTCCTGGACAAGTCTCTTGTTACTTTTGGGACTCTTTGCCCTGTATTATACTGTGTAGATCTGCCTCTGGAAACTGGCTATGCCTGCTGATTCTAGCAAGTTCCTAAGGATTGTAAGTTGATTTAGGTGTGTTCATCATTCACTGTTTATATTTGTTTATAAATGCCACTATTGATTAAAGTAACAATTTGTACTTATGAAAACTCCTATATCTCTTAAATAGCTGGGTTGTGATTTTTGAGCATGCTATGGTATTGATCCATCTACATTTTCATATATTTGTAGTACTTCCCAGTTAACATCTGTCTATATTAGTGTTGTAATATACAATACAGAACAACATAGAAATGGTAAAGAATTTACATAATTGTGATAAAATTAACAAGTGTGCTGTCCTGTTTTCTAGATAAAATAATTAGACATAGAGCTTGTACTTTGAAAGACACTGCTCATGCTATCATTGCTGCTGAACTGGATCCAGAATTTAATAAGATGTGTGAAGAAATCAAGGAAGCGAGAAGAAAAAGAGGTATGTTTAACTTCATTTATCATAACACAACATACATTGAATAGAAAACAGAATTTACAAATGTCCATATAAAAATTTAAATTTACGATGAAATATAGAACGTGTGTCAGACTCAGGCAGTGCCTGTTAAAGGATGACTGAGCTTGAAACTCGTCTACTTTTTCCAGCTATGTGAGCTGGTCCAATAAGGCGCCATCCTTCTTTACAAAAGAAGGATGCATTGCCTATTGGTACAAAAAATACTGTAGAACATGGTGAAGAAATAAATGTTGGGATTGCTGTACTGACTGAAATGTGGCGAAACCAGAGCTGTATTCTAAAAATGCCATGTAATGCATGTAATAACAACTATGATGAGGGAGAATGGCATTTAAACGGTGGATTTTCAGTTCACCCTGGCATGTGCACAAGTGTACTTTTGGTGATAATCTGTTGATTTTTTGGATTAAGAATCAACTATTACATCCACATTGAGGGGAGTATGAGGTTAACATTCTAATAGTCCAGAATCAGGAAATATAGCCCCTTGCATTAGAGGACGTCACTGACATAGTTATGTTTAAATTAGTGCAGTTGTTTTCCACTTGTAGTCCATAGACCTCCAATCACTGACTCTAGTTTTTGCTTAAATTAGTGCAGTTATTTTCAACTTGTAGTCTGTAGACCTCCAAGTCTGTGAACAGCTTCTAAAGTGACCACAAGAGGTAATCAAAAGCCCGAACGTACTCCCAGTAGGGCTCCGTTTACATGAAAGATTCTGTACCTCCATGGAAAAATTTTAAAGGTCTGAAAACTGAAAAAGCTTGAAAATCACTGAACTATAACATTAGAACAAGATTTCATGTTGATTTAGGGATTACTGATTTCCATAATTCCAGCTTTACCTTGGCAAGTTGCTTCCTGCTTTGGTAAAAAACTGCAGCTGGTTTCTAGGTTGAATTTGGCCGGTCTTAACTTATAGCTGCTGGCTCTTGAAATACTTCTGTCAGTAGATTGAAGACCCTTTATTAATAAATTTCTTTGAACTATGCAAGTATCTGTAGGCTTTCTCTTCTTCAGGTTAAAATGGATACAGTTGCTTTTATTTAATGGTTGGACTCGATCATAAAGGTCTTTTCCAACCTAAACGATTCTATGATTCTATGATTTTCCCATTCAGTCATGCATTTTTTTGTCTAATTCTGTACAAGTTTCCAATGTGTGTCTTGAATTGTGGATAAGAGAACCAATTGTGGTTCACTGTGATTGTAAAATAGAACTAATAGAATGTCTTCATTTCTCCTCTGTACTTTTCTATTAGAAGTATAAGAATATTCACAATTCTGGCCTTAGTGTCATGCTGAGAGCTATGCTCAGGTAATTATCCATTATGAGTCCCCCATGATTGTTAAAGGTTATTGCTTCCGAGGTTAAAGTAACTGTTTGTAAGAGCTCTTTGTTACAGAGAGTGACTGTGTAGCTTCTAAGTCCCTCCTTGCAAGTCTCCCAAGAGCTAACTGGAACGCTGCCCTTCTTTTTGTGGCAGTGACCAAGTAATATATAAATCTGCAAAACCTGCAGGATTTTCAGATATCATAGTTAAGGCTGATGGTGTCATGCGATGAAATTGTTAAATCAGAAAAAGAAGATACTATTGGTGTCAGATGCTGGTTAGTGGACCTTCAGATATAAGTAGGTGACTAGCAGTACCGGTTTGTGAGTGACAACAGCTCACATACAACAATAGACAGATTTCAAAGTGCATTCTAGGCATTGGCATGGAAACTGTTACAGTGTCACAGATACCTGCAAATCGCATTTCAAAGACGCTCATGCATTTGGACCACATTGTCGTGGTTTCAAGAACAAATGAGCTCTGCATTTGGTCCAGCTGCAGAGCATGGAAGGCTAAGATCACTTACTGAATTAGCAAGAACAGAAGCTTTGTTAGATTAACTGGTTATGAATGAAGAAAAATATATCAGGCTCTTGAGGTCTGAGGAAACCTCATGCTGTAAAGCAAGCACAAGAGATTGTCCTATCCCTGGATCAGGAGTTGTGTCAAAGATTGTGGTATAGAACATCAAGAAGATGGCACTTCAGGCACGTAGTCTGGGCACTGGTCATTGTAATGGATGGAGGGATGTGAACGCTGACCAACCTTGCCATTACTCCCATTTTGCTCTACAGAATATGCTCAGCAGAACAGCAGATCAGCAAAATCACAGTGCATCTGTTGGTCTAAACTTTGACATGTACCTTGTTTTGGAACATTTTGGACAAGGGATGACAAAGACATATACTTGCATTTTCTTCTTTTGATTTGATGTCCAAAAGGTTATTAAGGGATTTCTGGTTTCTTCTTTGAATTGATTAGTGGATGGTCAGGTATAGAAGTGATCCCCAGATCCTCTTTCTTCCCCTCTGCTTCATAATAAGAGTATATTTTGAAATAATGGAATGTTTCAGTGAGGAAGTACTTGAGGAAAGCTGTGTAAGCAGTGTAAACTATGCCTTTTGCTGTCCAAGAGCTTTGTGCAACTGGTCACGTAAATGCAAGGGTGGTTGCTCATACCAGGCTGTTTGCCTGAGTGGAGCTACTCAATGAAATCACGCTGAATTGGGCAGCCAGCCTTGTTGCCTGACCAGTGTATGAGGTGGGGAATTGGGCCCTTAAGTAATTCTTTTTAATATCAACAAGAGGTGTCCAAACAAGGCCTTAAATAAATGTTAAGCCTGAAGTCACAGTGAGTGTGCTTCACTGTACGATACACAGCAAGCTTTTCTTCAGCTCAGAGTACTCTAAGCTTCTCTTTTCATCTTCCTTTAAAAGCACCAGACTGGCATGTATACACTCTGACGGGAGAAAAAAAAAACCCACCATTCAGTGTCCACATTTTTCTGCATGTATGTCTGGACTCAGCTTGATAAAGGATCCTGTCTTCAAGCCTTACCAGAGCTAAAAAGAAGTACTGCAGTGTAACAGGATGATAAACTGTATGATAAAATTAGTATCTAGAAGTTAAACTAGAATTTCTTGTTCTTGCATTACTGAAATGAGGTGCTGTTGTTGAAAGATGGTAAATCTAAGGATAACAAGTTGGAAAATTAAGAACAATAATGTGCTAGATTATTGGAATTTGTGGCTTCTTGTTGAAACCAGCAGGTAACAAGGTAGAAGTGGTGGATGTTTTGAGTAATGAAAAAAGTTTGATATGCAGTTTAAAATATTTGTAATGGTACCTAGAAACTTATGCTGTAACTGTTAACTGTTAGGTGAGAGCTCCTATGTGAATCTTTTAATTTCTGCATCCATCAGTTTTAGAGCTTCTTGTCAGCTCTTGATCACTTGGTTCTGGTTACTATTGGAGACATGGTATGATGTCCTGAAGACTTCTAGTGGATGGATAGGAAAGTCTAGTTCACAAATATGAAACCTCAGAGATTCATTTATGTCTTTATGTGCTTAACCAATATGAAAGTTTGCATTTTTAGAATTTAATTAAAAACGCTATGAAATAGTAGAAGCTATGAGATGAACTTATATTACAGAAGGCAAACCAGACTTTTTGTTAAAAGCAGAATCACATTTTCTTAATTTAAGAGCTCATATTGACTCTGAAATGGATCTGTTTTACATAACATAGATCATGGTGACAATACAAGGTTTTTATTAAGATACTGTTTTTGATATGGCATACAATGCCATTATGAATTGCCACTTATTTTAAATCATCTGTTTAAAATTAGGAAAAATAGAAACTGTCAGTAAGAATTTGCTTTATAGAGCAAATATGGATAGAAGAGTGCAATCTTTGGGGACCCCAGTGTGAGAAACAGACACATTTTTCTAAGCCGTCAGAGCTGACAGTTTTAAGATCATGCAAGCAGTAAGTTATTTTGTCAGCAAAACCAAATATTCTTGATTCTAATCTTTGTTTCGAATGTCCAGCTAAATATTAATTGATGTGTTCTTATTGCAGCATGGTATTCCAAGTTTCTTTTAAAATTCAACAGTTTTATGCAGCTTGGTTTATTTAAATAGGTATGGTTATCTTCTGTATGCAGGCTTATCAGTAACAGCAGAACAAATAAATCCTCATGGTTCCACTGTACGGAAAACAGAAGCTAGAGTTGAAGAGGCTTTTCGGAACAAACAAAAACCCACAATGGCGGTGTGGCCCAACTCTGCGAATAAATGTGCATGTGAGTACCTTGGGTGATAATTGTGCAAAATTAGAGGTACTTCCAATGGCAAACGTATCAAATGTGTCTCTACTACTGTTTACTGATTATTTCCAGAAGTAATTTTAGGCATGAAACACTTGGAACTTTAGGAAACACTTTTTCTGACTGCATGAAATCTCTGCCCATGAAGTTGTAAAGAAGCAGGATTCCTGTTTTTGTGATAAAGAATAACTGTCTTTCTAACGTAATATGAGTATTACATTTTTCTTTGTAAAAGACTATTTTCAGTATAAGACGACTGATCCAATGAGAAGATCATTTTTATGTTTGATAAGTGCTAAGATTTCTTTACTCTCTGTGTGTATTCACGGGTACATACCTACACGCTGCTTCATATTCTCTCACGTGCACTGTAGTTATTCACTTCCTATCTTCAGTACATACAGTATTATGCTAAAAGTTAGAAAAGAGATTACAAATTTAACTGTATTTTCCTTTATGGCACCTGGTTTTCAGTAGTCAGTACCCATTATTGGAGGATGTTAAGAGTCTTGCTGCAGCCTACTGGATTAGTCCAATTAATTGATCAAAATCTCTAGATTTGTGAGGAGTGACTGTTTAACTGTGGTGAGTTAATCAGAGGCACTGCTAATTATTTTCAAGAGGTAAGTTGATTAGAACAGGTAAATACACAACAGGTATTTTTGTTATAAAACAAAATAAAGACTATAAGAGAATGTATGAGGGATATGCTGATAGTTGTGCATAGCTTTCCCGTTTAAGATGTGGAATCCATTATTAATATATTATTAATAGCATTATCAATGATTGCTTAATAGGCGAACTGATAGATTGGAGCTGACAGATTTTCATTGGTCTTTGTGCTCTCCTTCACGGTGCTTTTCCTTGATGAGGAAGAGTTTTCTAGGCATGGTGATAACTGTCCAGAGATGAACATTGTTTATATATGAATGATAGTGTTGATGTCAAATAGTTTAATTAATTAGAGGTGTATGGTTTTATTTCCTGAAGCTGTAATTTCTTCCATTAAAGGAATTAAAGTCAATCATACAGAGTTATGGCTTGCATAAATTGTTATATAATAAATGGATGGTGTGGATCCAAGCTGTTCTTTATTCATTTGGCAGCTTGTGCAAAAACAGAGAGAGGAGGGAAAGGATTCTAAATTTTTTTTTTTCTTTAGTTTCTGATGAAATCCGAGATGGAGATTCTCACTCTGGCTGATTCACAGAGCACTTTCCGGGCTCTGCATGCAGTGCAGCAGACGGTAGGGTTTATAGGCCTCCCAGCCTGACATCTCTTGGGAAGAGAGAGTGCCATTACTGGTGACTTGTATAAAAAGAAGCTCTGGTACCTCTGCTCTCTTTTCCACCTAATGTTGTGGATACAGTGGCAGTCGTTTGAAAACGAGCCATTGACTGAGGGAAAGTGCCAGCATTTCTGTGTATAAACAAAAAAGAAGTGAGTGTTAAGGCACTGTTCCTGCTAGTATTTTGGTGATTTAGGTTGGAAGGCAAAAAAATTTGAGGCTTAGTGGCATTTGGGACTATGATCAAACGAAAATCTGGGAAAGGTAGCTAGTCCAGGAGGGATGTGATGCATCTAGTAATCAAGAGAGGGAACCAGGAATTGATGAGCAATCAGAAATCTGCAGAAGGTATTCAAGTAGTACATGGGCACACTTAAAGATTGATGCGGTAAGTTCAGTAGAGACTAGAAACTAGGAAGAGAGAGTCTTAAAAGGGTGTTTGGAGGAAGGAGCTGGAGTAAAGTGAGAACAGAACTGAGCAGATTGTAGGGAGCTCGTATAGCAGCAAATTATATGGTGGATTGTGATTGTATAAATGGAAGAAACAAGTTTAGAGAAGGGATTTCTGAACAGAGTTGATTTTAGAGGTAGAATGGAAATTTTTTTATGGTCAAGAATGAGATTTTTTTTTTTAGACAACTGAAATGTATTACACAAACAGAGTAACAAGGACGATGATTCATGTATTTTAATTACACAGGATAAAAACCGTACTTTCCAGTTAATAATCCTGAAAATCTTCAATTTTTTCTGCTATTTGAACTTGAAATAATTTTTTTCCTTAGATAAATCCAAGGAAAAAAAATCACCAATCATAACATTATTTTCCTAATTAAATTATTTTTTTAGGAGCTTTGTTTACAGTCTTTTAGAAGATAGCTGCAAAAAAGTCAATTCAGATGAAACACCTGAGAACCCTAAAGGAAATTATTGTCAAGCATCTTCTCTAAAAACAGAGAGGACTGCAGACAGGGCAGCAGCCTTCCCCAGTTTAAAGCCCTGTTCACTGTTGAGGGCTAGTACAATAGAGAACAAGAGTTAGTTTATCATGTGTTGGTTTGTTTTCTGAGGTTATCTACGAAACTTTATTTAGTTTTTTAGTTACCTATTATTTTGTGATTTATTTAATTTTTCTAATGTATTTTAGTTTTTTTTTTTAAAATTTGATTACACCAGATGGGCCATCAGAAACGTGGCACAAAATAGTTGTTCTGTTTGAAGGCGTGGTGATACACGTTCCTGAGTTAGATTTAATCTGCAACTTCCATTTCTCTTGTTGAAGGTACATGTGTGGTAGATGGTGTGTCACAGTATAGATGAGTTTTAAAAGCATTGCGTTACTAGAAGTTGCTGAAAATCAATTTGGGAGAGTTCTGCAACAGATAATTTAAAATATTTCCATATTGACTGTGTATTTTGAGAAAAGTGCAAGTGTTCTGGTGGGAACTTAAAATGGAGCATAGGTCAACAGCCTGATATAAGTAGTTGTCTGATCATAGAATCACGAAGTCGCGGTGGTTGGAAGGAACCTCTGGTTCATCTAGATCATCTAGTCTAACTCCCCTGCTCCGAGCTGGTTGCTGAAGGCTGTGTCCAGTTGTGTTTTGAATATCTCCAAGAATGGAGGCTCCGTGAGATGCCTGGGAAATCTATTCTAGTGCTTGGCCACTCTCACAATAATTTCTTTTTCTTAATTTTGAATTGAATGTCTTGTATTTCAGTCTGTGCCCATTACCTCTTGTCACTGGGCACTGATGGGAAGAGTCTTGCTTCTCCTTTGTATGTATGTGTGTGGAAAAGGAAACTACCAGCAATGTGCAGTTTGCTGTGTCTGGTAAATAAATCATTGCTAAGTGGCTTAGATACGCATTAGCACATAAAATATTAGCATCTCTCTAATTATTGGGATGCTGTATAGTAAAACTTTGTCCTACTGCTCTGTTTTGCCAGTAGATGGAGTATGTTGCATATTATTTTACTGGCTTGCAGTTGCTTCCTTTAGTGTTACGTATAAATAAACTGCATGGGGAAGATTTGGCTTTACATTCTTACCTTTTTTCGCAGTACTTAACAATAATATAATTGTAGTGATAGCCTGCAGATTTTATGTTTTCTTCATAGAGGAGATGTCTTTTATGCTGTATGATAAATATGATAGCTGTGAAAATGGCATTTGGAGGAAATAAAGAAATTAAAATATTTTGTGTTACATGAAGTATTAAAAATATAAGTTTTATATAAAAGTCATTTAATGAAATATGAAGTAAATACACTGCCAACTTTTCCCAGTAATTGAAGTGATTAGTGGTATCTATAGAAAGAACTGTAGGGAGATCAAGGATATAAAGAAACTGCTGCAGAAAATGTAGTTCCTAAATAAATAATATTTTGTGCACCTTTTTGTGTTTTGTTTTTGTGGTTTTTTTTGTTTTGTTTTGTTTTGGTTGTTTTGTTTTGTTTTGTTTTTTTTTCCCTTCTAAATGGCAATCTTTGCTGTCATACGGAACTGTGTTTCTGTTTTATAATGGAAACAAGGTTTTGTTTTGGCAGGAGTAATTTTAAAAAAAAATTTTAGAAAGAAAAGGTCTTTTGTGTATAATCTTTCTCAGCAACTGTTTTATTCTCAGTCTTGGTCTGATTTTCATCTGCTTAGTCTCTTTTCTTTGACCTCTCTGATACAGTGGTGTCAGTGATGGCTGTACTTCGGTCATTCATATGACTACAGTAATGCCTTATCAAAGGACATGGCAGACCAGATGCCATATGGGTTTTAATATCTTAACTATTTTCTGCCTTTTGGACTAGTTCTGAATTTGGATTCAGAATTTGGATTTTGGCACATTAACAGTCATCCAGATGCTAACATTAAAATCCTGGTAGCCGCTGATGTTTTGTCACAAATCCTACACTTGCTACTGTTTTCTTTTCTCCTCCTGCTCTCCAGAAAAGGGATTTGACTTGGATTAATTCTCACTTGAGACAGAAGCAAGTACTGTAACTTGAAAAACACCATTAAAAAATGATTTTCTGGAATTTGAGGACATCTTTACTCAGAGCTGAGACAACTGTCTCTCTTTGTTTCTTTATCATTTTGTTCTGGGTAGTGTAGGAGTTGGCAGTCTGGATGAGAGTAGTTTGATCTCTTCTATCCGATGCTGGCTTCAACCAGATGCTTTAAAAGGAAGCTGCAAACATTTGAGAAATAAAAATTATTTTTTCATGCCTGATTTTGAGGGAAATACCAACTTAGCTGATTCTGAGTTAGTTAACAGTTCTTTTAAAACCCATAGGCTTTGTAATTCTTCTAATTTAAAATGCCATTTAATGAATTTGTGGGAGTTCTAATAAACCCTGACTGCCTATTCTTTTTTGGGATCCCATCAAACTTTTGGAGTCAGTGATATCTAGTGGCAAAGAAATTTTCTTTCATCACTATTAAATACCTGCGTCTTGAATTAATCGAATATCTTTTTTCTCTGACAGAGAGCAAAGAGGGTCCTACAATTTACCTGATCAGTGACTTCTTATATTCTCTTGTTTTTCATCTCCTTTCTAACTCAGTAATGCGAGATTGCTCAGCCTCTCTTAAGAAGGTTTTCCTGAAAGCATCATCACCACCTTTCTTGCAAACATGGTAAAAAGAGAGACTTTTTAGAAAAAGTTTGTTTTAATGAGTTCTTCTAAATTT